GCTTCGCCATCTCCCTCTGTGCACGTCTCAATATTTACTGAGTCTGTTTAATCAGGTCTGGGAGTCGTCGTCAGTCCTTGAGGACTGGCTCGATGCTGTTGTCTTCCCTGTTCGGAAACCAGGGTCTCTCAGGTCATCCCCCAAGGACTTCCGCCCTATTGCCCTCACGAGTTGTCTGCAAGCTCTTTGAACGAATGGTTAACGTTCGTCTGATGTGGTTCTTAGAACACTATCACCACCTCTTCCCTTCTCAATTTAGTTTTCGCAAGTGCCGCAGCACAACAGATGTCCTGGTGAACTTGGAGGTCTATATTCGTACTGCTTTTGCTGCGAAGTCCTCTGTTGTTGCCGTCCTTTTTGACCTGGAAAAGGCTTACAACACTACCTGGCAGTATCATATTCTGTCCCAACTTCATTCTTTTGGCCTTCGTGGGAATCTCCCTCTCTTTCTCCAGAGTTTCCTCTCTCGTCGTTCCTTTCGAGTGAGGCTTGGTACCACTCTCTCTGCCCCTTTTCAGCAGTATGAGGGTGTGCCCCAGGGTAGTGTTCTGAGTACTACTCTCTTTCTTGTTGCTTTCCATGGTCTTCTTTTTTCCCTTCCCTCTGGCGTCTTCTCCACTCTCTATGTAGACGATCTTACCCTTTGCTGTCGGGGTGATGATTCACCTCTCCTTCAACGGCGGCTTCAACTTGCGATTGATGCCATGTCGTCTTGGGCCACCGATCATGCTTCAAGTTCTCTGCGTCTAAGACTTGTGCTATGACTTTTACTCGGAAGCGTGTCGTTCTTCGTCCCTCTTTGTCTCTTTATGGACATCCCCTTGTGTACAGGGATTCCGCTAAGCTTTTGGGGTTAATCTTTGACACTCGTTTGTCTTGGTCACCGCATATCTCTTACCTCCGCGCTGAATGCTCTAAGGCCTTTACTCTCCTTCAGGTTCTGTCCCATACTTCTTGGGGAGCAGATAGGCGCACTCTCCTCGCTTTACATTCCTCTCTCGTCCTGTCTAAACTCTATTATGGTTGCCCTGCTTACTCGTCTGCTTCTCCTTCTACTCTTCGCCATCTTGATGCTTTGCACCATACTGGGTTGCGCCTCAGCTCTGGTGCCTTTCGTTCGACTCCCGCCCTCAGCTTGTATGTTGACACTGGTTTCCTGTCTCTCCAGGACCGCCGTGATCGCTACTGTCTTCGCTATCTTGCGCGGTCCTTACAACATCCTTCCTCTCGCCTCTCGTGCTTTAACTTTTACTCCTCCTGTGGTTCCTGTTCCTCTTCACCACCTCCCTCTTTCTGTCCGGCTATCTCGCTTACAGGTCCCTTTTTCCATTCGTCTTTCTCATATTTCTCCTCGGATTGTTCCTTCCTTGCCCCCGTGGAGAGTCCCCCTTTCGAAGTTTTGTACATCCTTGACCCGCATTACTAAAGTTTTTATTCCTCCTACGGTTCTGAAACTCCTTTTTCATGAGCACTTTTCTCACTCCCGCTCCGTTTCCATCTTCACCGATGGGTCTAAGTCTGCGGACGGTGTGGGCTACTCCGTTGTTTTTCCTGACCGCACTTATCTGTTTCGCCTCCCTTCGGAGACTAGCATCTTCACAGTGGAGCTTTATGCTATTCTCCATGTTCTCCGTCTCCTGCTTTCTCATTGTCAATCCTCCTTTGTGATTGTCGTTGACTCTTGTAGTGCCCTCATGGCTCTCGAGTCCTTTAATCCTGTCCATCTGGTGGTCATAGAGATTCAACATTGGCTGTTTCTTGTCTCTAGTAAATTAAATCCGTGGAGTTTTGTTGGGTTCCCAGCCATGTTGGTGTTTCTTTAAATGAGCGTGCAGATGCTGCCACTAGAGAGGCTATCCGCTCTTGTCCCGTTTCCCGTAAAGGTATTCCTTTTTCCGACTTTTATCCGGTTATTCATTCCTCTATCCTTACCCGTTGGCAGGGTTGTTGGTCTTCTGTTGTTGGTAACAAACTGCGTACTCTTAAGCGTTGTGTGTCCCCGTGGGCTTCCTCCTGCCACTGTAACCGGCGGTGGGAAACGGTCTAGGCTGGTTGTGTCTTGGCCATACTCGCTTAACCCACGGTCACTTAATGGAGCGCCGCCCTGCTCCTTATTGTCCAAATTGCGTTGTCCCTCTTACAGTTGTGCATCTCCTTGTTGAATGTCCTGACTTCCAGAACGAGCGTGTGTCTTGCTTTCCGACCGCCCCTCGCGGTCACTTGTCACTCGATAGAATTCTTGGTGAATCGGATACTTTTGATATCGTTCATCTTATGCGTTTCTGTTTTAGTATTGGCATCCTTGGTGATATTTAGCGCCCTCTGAATATTCCGCACATTTGATGGTGCTACATAACCTTCCCGGCTTGGTGTCTTTGATAAATACTTACTTTGCTACATATTACTTCCTATTTCCTTAATATGCCTTCAGCAACCTGTCTGATAATGTGAGTTTTATCTCACGTCTGAGAATGTGACTTCTTGTAAATTTCCACAGGTACTGGTGCTGCCGGCCGGCTGTCCTGGCCAAGATGGATTCTCACCCCAGGATGTAAACTTTATCCATTGGAAGTTCACCGGCTGATGGCTGGAATATTTCCACGGCTGCGTGTTTACCCTCCACGAGATGACGTCCTGGGCTGACACCAGGGGGTATTGATGTACCCTCCACGAGATGACGTCCTGGGCTGACACCAGGGGGGTATTGATGTACCCTCCACGAGATGACGTCCTGGGCTGACACCAGGGGGGTATTGATGTACCCTCCACGAGATGACGTCCTGGGCTGACGCCAGATGATGCTCATGTGCCCTCCACGAGAGAGGTTCTTCACGAAACATATAAATTTTACAATTTATTGTAAACACTGCACCTACGGGAGTAGTGGTATAAGCCTTGAACAGGTATCCTCAGCTACTGTGTCAGTCATTTCAATTTAATCTCGATTACAATGTAATATTTTAAATATAATGTTTCATAGTAATACGAGACGTAATAACCTCTCGTCGTATAATTAGCAAGCTGGGGCACTTTTATTGACCTTAAATGACAAAACATTTAATAACCCCATTTGACATGCGTTCAGTGACTGCACTTGACAAACATAGACCAAGTGACAGGCATTTAGTGACCACACATAAGGGAAGTAATAGCCACTTGTCATTAGCATACATGACCTCAGACGAAGGAATAGTTATGCAGATCCTTCAGGGCATTTTGACCCTCATCATCAGGGAAGGAGCGTGTTTTTTGCAAGATTTTATCTGATTTGCAACGTCGATATTGTTTCAACAAGATCAACAACGTTATGCAACATTTTATAGATCAATGATTTATCAGTTGGGTGGGTTCAAGCTCATGGGCTCCGGTCCGTAGCAGATTCTTTTCCGCAAGACATAGACCCATCTCCCTCCTACCTGACCATTACTGTCACACAGGTTGGGCTCTGACACCAATCTCCAGGCGGAAGCTTGTTGTTAGCAGGTCCTTCTTCAGCTCCTGTGCTCCAATCCTTAGGGCTAGTGTCTATAAGCTATCCTCTAGCAGGTCGTCCTTCAGCTTCTGTGCTCCAATCCTTAGGGCTAGTGTCTATAAGCTATCATCCAGCAGGTCGTCCTTTAGCTCCTGTCTCCCTGTTAATATACCTTAGTTGCCAGTTACACTTTTGTTATGAGTAAATGGTTTATTTATTATAGAAATTATTAGAACTATATTTTTCAACAAACAAAATTTTGGTATTTTTAAGTCTTTTGTTATAAGGTGCAGCAGTTTTTTTAACTATATATTTTTGTTACACAAGTCTCAAGAAACATTTTTTGTCAGATGTTAATTTTTAAATTGTAGTTTTCTAAAATTACGTAGATTATTAAGCAATACACAGCCTATTTTATTATTGTCGGAGCCTCACACGTGAGCAAGATTACTCATATTGACAGGTAGACAAAAATATACTATAATAATTTTATTTTAAAGCCATGCTGAAGAGCATGATAGTAATTAAATCTGTAGTTACTTAAATGTAAATTTAATACAGCCCCATGTTAACGACCAATGTTTTACACTATTAAGCTTCCTCTGATGGTAAACCCTTAAGTAGAGTAGTTAAGTCTTGCATCAAGGTACACATTTATAAAATAGTTGACTATTCATATGGGTAAAATATTAAACAGGGATTGTAGCAGTTGAAGGGTTAAGAGCTGTATACGGAGTATTGGTGTCTTGGCCTGGGGAGGGGGGGGGTGTCTGGGCCTGGGGGAGGGGGGGGGCCTGGGGGTAGTGATGTAGCCATAATAGATGCAACCGTGAACTAGGAGCAAGACTGCACGTTAGTCGTTCCAGCCTTGTTACAGCTGTGGCAGGTGTCTGGTGCCACAGCTGCTACAGCTGTGGCAGGTGTGTGGTGCCACAGCTGCTACAGCTGTGGCAGGTGTGTGGTGCCACAGCTGCTACAGCTGTGGCAGGTGTGTGGTGTAACAGCTGCTACAAAATATCACTCTTGCACGGCTGCACAAAGTGCTGACGATACCTGTCCCGTTAACTCATTGTAATACTAACTCTTAAGTTGTTTTAATATACCTTGTAGTACAGTATACCAATATGCCAGTGTGAGTGTGAGAGGGAACTGTGTGAGTGAGCCCCGTTCCTTCCTCCTCCTCCTCCTAGCCTACATCCTTCCTATCCTCTCCATTTCAAATTTTCTTCATCTCTCTCTCTCTCACTTTGGTAGAGATGATTAATCCATTTCTGAAATTTCTTGCGGTGCTTTTTGTGCTGCTGTGAGCCAGTACAAAGTCCAGGGAGCCGCCTCGACCACTATGGCCCCTCGGCCGTGTCCTCCAGGACACTCCCTCCCTCGGCCGTGTCCTCCAGGACACTCCCTCCCTCGGCCGTGTCCTCCAGGACACTCCCTCCCTCGGCCGTGTCCTCCAGGACACTCCCTCCCTCGGCCGTGTCCCCCAGGACACTCCCTCCCCCCTCCCTGTGGCTCTGACCTCGCCCCGATGGCATTAATGTGTAATCTGACCTTTAGTTACAGCTCCTCCTCAAAACGGAACACTCTACCCGCCGCTGCCTGATTTCCGTAAGTATTGGCTCAGTCGTTTTACCGTTTTCTGTAAATAGTCCTGTTTACAAGACTATTTCCAGAACTTGTAAATAGTCTTTACTTGTAGTCCCGTCTACGAGAACAATTTTTGTATTAAGTTTGTACTTAAATTTGTATTTGTTTGTATTTTAAATCTTGAAAGTCAGGGTTTTCTAAAAATATTTGGTTCATAAAATGCAAGTATTACAGTCTCCAAATGCAAGAGTGATTTATAGACCTGGGGCCAGATTCACGAAGCAGTTATGTAAGCACTTACGAACGTGTACATCTTTCCTCAATTTTTGGCGGCTTTGGTTACATTTTTTAAACAGTTTACAAGCATGAAAACTTCCCAATCAACTGTTTTTGTTATAAACAGCCCCCTGGTACTTCGGAGCTGTTTAATAATTGTAAACAAAGCCGCCAAAGATTGAGAAAAGATGTACAGGTTCGTAAGTGCTGGTGTAACTGCTTCGTGAATCTGGCAGCTGGTGTGGAGAACGTCAGTGGTGGTTGAAACACCCGCTCCCCCCCCCCTCCCCCACCTTCCCCTCTAGACTTTAACTAGTGATAAAGTGTACGTTTCCTTAAGGAACAACACACTCTACTTAATATCACTTTATCAGACAGGTGTTTACAAGTCAGTACAAAGATCCGATCACTTGGAACTCAAAGCATTTGATTAAGGAACACAGTTAAAAATACACCTAGAACATCTAGTGGCAGGGGGACACTATACTTGTTTATAGTAAAGAATAAGAGGAGAAGGTAACATAGAGAACGGGACGCCGACGTCCGACCCTGCAAGAGGCTCCTGCAGAAGAGAACTGCTCCATGTGACATGTTGCCTGCTTGATCAACTGATCACACAATAACCATACTTGAATCTCTAATTCAATATCAAACTGCTACCGCGCAGCTCTAAGTGTAAATATAAGATCCTAGCTTTACAACACACTAACAAATTATCACTACAAAACTTAGGGCATCAAAATGCTTTTACGTCTGGCAAGGGAGCGACCGCCCGCCATTTACAACATGAGGATCAGTCCTGTATATAAACTGCCAGAGTTCACTCCTCCTTTAACCCAAACCTATCTAAGAACACTCTAGTTTAAATAACACTAATCCCACACATACATTCCGGGCCTATCACTAACATACCTACATAAGGGCAGGATCCCTATATCATATGTAAACAAAGACCATCCTATCCTGGATCCATTTGGCAAAGTGCCATCGTGGACCCAGGGTCCTAACAACATACAAATAGTAAATATAAAATAGTAAACACACACCAAAACACACACACACACTTGACCAAAGAGCCAGAGCTCAACCTCTGCAAGCACAACTAGGTAAGTACACACACACACACACACACACACACACACACACACACACACACACACACACACACACACACACACACACACACACAGCTAATGGGGGGCCTGATAGCTGAGTGGACAGCGCTCTGTACTCGTAATATTAGGGTCCGGGTTCGATCCCCGGTAATGGCAGAAATAATATGGCCAGAGTTTCTTTCACCCTTGTTACCTAGCAGTAAATAGGTACCTGGGAGTTTGACAGCCACTACAGGCTGCTTACTGGGTGTGTACTCACCTATTTGTACTTGTGGCGGCTTGAGCTCTAGCTCTTTGGTCCCGCCTCTCAACTGTCAATCAACTGGTGTACAGGTTCCTGAGCCTACTGGGCTCTATCATATTTACACATGAAACTGTGTATGGAGTCAGCCTCCACCACATCACTTCCTAATGCATTCCATTCGTTAACCACTCTGACACTGAAAAAAGTTCTTTCTGACGTCTCTGTGGCTCATCTGGGTACTCAGTCTCCACCTGTGTCCTCTTGTGCCCCCTCTGTTGTTGTCGTCCTTTTTGACCTGGAAAAGGCTTACGACACCACTTGGTGATATCACATTCTGTCCCAACTTCATTCTTTTGGCCTTCGAGGTCCTCTCCCCTCTCTTTCTCCGCAGCTTCCTCTCTCGTCGTTCCTTTTGGGTGAGGCTTGGTACCGCTCTCTCTGCCTCTTTTTCAGCAATATGAGGGTGTGCCCCAGGGTAGTGCTCTGAGTACTACTCTTTTCCTGATTGCCCTCAATGGTCTCCTTTCCTCTTTTCCTTCTGACGTCTCCGCTCTCTATGTCCATGATCTTACCCTTTGCTGTCAGGGTGATGATTCGCCTCTCCTTCAACGCCGGCTTCAACTTGCGATTGATGCCGTGTCGTCTTGGGCCACCGATCATGCTTCAAGTTCTCTCCGTCTAAGATTTGTGCTATGACTCTTAATCGGAAGTGTGTCATTCTTCGTTCCTCTTTGTCACTTTATGGACATCCCCTTGTATACAAGGATACAATTCCGCTAAAGCTTTAGGGGTTGATTTTTGACACTCATTTGTCTTGGTCTCCCCATATCTCGTACCTCCGTGTTGATTGATGTAAGGCCCTTACCCTCCTTCGAGTATTGTCGCAAACTTCTAGGGGAGCAGATAGGTGCATTCTCCTCACTTTACATTCCTCTCTCGTCCTGTCTAAACTCTATTATGGTTGCCCTGCTTACTCGTCTGCTTCTTCTTCTACTCTTCGCCGTCTTGATGCTTTGCACCATACTGGGTTGCGCCTCAGTTCTGGTGCCTTTCGTTCGACTCCCGCCCTCAGCTTGTATGTTGACACTGGCTTCCTGTCTCTCCAGAACCGCCGTGATCGCTACTGTCTTCGCTATCTTGCGCGGTCCTTCCAACATCCTTCCTCTCGCCTCTGTCGTGCTTTAACATTTACCCCTCCTGCGGTTCCTGTTCCTCTTCACCACCTCCCTCTTTCTGTCCGGTTATCTCGCCTACAGTATTCTCTTTCAGTTCGTATTTCTGATGTATCTCCTCGTATTGTTCCTTCCTTGCCTTCGTGGAGAGTCCCCCTTCCGAAGTATTGTACATCCTTGACCCGCATTACTAAAGCTTTTATCCCCTCCTATGGTTCTGAAACGCCTTTTCCTGAGCACTATTCTTTGCACTCCCGCTACGTTTCCATCTTCACCGATGGGTCTAAGTCTACTGACGGTGTGGGCTACTCCGTTGTTTTTCCTGACCGTACTTATGTGTGTAGCCTCCCTCCAGAGACTAGCGTCTTCACAGCAGAACTTTATACTCTTCGTCTCTTACTTTCTCGTTGCAATCTTCCTTTGTGGTTGTCGTAACTCTCGCAGTGCTCTCATGGTTCTCGGGTCCTTTAAACCTATTCATCCAGTGGTCGTAGAGATTCAACATTGGCTGTTTCTTATTTCCAGTAAATTTAAGTCCGTTGAGTTTTGTTGGGTTCCCAGCCATATTGGTGTCTCTTTAAATGAGCGTGCGGACACTGCCGCTAGGGAAGCTGTCCGCTCTTGTCCCATCTCCCGTAAAGGTATTTCTTGTTTCGACTTTTACCCAGTTATTCATTCCTCCATCTTTACCCGTTGGCAGGATTGTTGGCCTCCTGCTACTGGAAACGAACTGCGTGCTCTTAAGGGTAGTGTGTTCCCATGGCCATCCTCCTACCACCGTAACCGGCGGTGGGAAACGGCTCTGGCGAGGTTGCGTATTGGCCATACATGTATAACTCGCGGACACTTAATGGCCCTGCTCCTTATTGTCCCTCTTAGTCACACATATCCTTGTTGAATGTCCGGACTTCCAGGACGAACGCGTGTCTTGCTTCCCGACTGTCCCCTGCGATCACTTGTCTCTCGATAGAATCCTTGGTGAATCATATACCTTTGATATCGTTCTCCTTGTGTGCCTTTGTTCTCGTATTGGCTTCTTTGGTGACAACTGGCGTATTTGAACTGGGTGATCATTCAGCTTTAATGGAGCTGCATAGTCTCCCTGGCTTGGCACTTTCTTTTAATAGTTACTTAGCATGTCACGTTAACCTATGCTTTTCAGGCATACTTATATCTATTCCACATAATATATTCACTTGAAACACATTTTACATACAGTGTTCTGTATAGTTCACTACAATACCACATTCATATCAACACTGTATAACCACAGGACATACCATAATCCCTGGACACACAATGGCCATAACCCCTGGACACTGTCTACTGACCACAGTGGGGGGTGAGAGCACACAGGTAAACTAACCCTGTTGACTTACTCCACTCAGCGAGTCCCCAATTTTGCACCCGCAAGATAACGTAAGATTTTAAGGGTTGACGAATGTTAGTCTTCTTGTTTGAGGAGCTGTTCACTTGAGCCAGTTCTGCAAGTCCCAGCTGTGTCTGGGTACAAGTGACAGGATGAACAACCCAGTGGGTTTTCTTCCTGTTGGGGAGTGTTGTACATGCTACTATGGCGGTGTGTCCACTCACAGGATGAGTGGCGCTGCCCAATAAACTCGCCCCTCGGGGAATAACTTAAAAATATATTTTCCACACAGCGGTGGGCTACGCCCAGACTGCCACCTACTACTGGGGCTCCATCGACGCCAACATGTCAGCTATGCCGACCGACAGCATACGAAAAATTCAAGGACCGTTTGGCTTTGGCACCGGCATTTCTTTAGACATGTCGCAGCACCAGGTGAGTGACAGTAGCAGTAACATGAGGGACGGGAGGGAGATGGTCTGTCTGTGGGAACACAATCCATTACTCTGTCTTATCTTTAGCAGAGTTACAATTTGGTGGATACCCAGTCACATAGGTGTTCCCGTGAGAGTCGTGCGGACGGCGCTGCTAAAGAGGCATTTTGTGCCTGTCATATCTCCCATAAAGGGATTCTTTATTCTGAATGTTACCCAGTCATTCATACCACAGTCGGCTACCGCCGGTGTTACTGATGACAAACTCGGTACTCTTAAATGTGACCTGTTCTCATGGCATTCTCCTCTCTGCTGTAATAGACAATGGGAAGTACACTGCACATTAGTCACATGCTCAACTCACGGTCACTTGATGGAAGAACTTCATCATTGTCTAGACTTCTTTGTGACACCTCCTGGTGCTGGGTCGAGATTATCAGAAGGATCATATTCATGTCCCAGTGTCCCTTTTGAGTCACTAGTCCATCAATATAATCCTTAGCGAGTTCGATGCCTTTGACGTAGCTTACCTTGTGCCTATTTAACCCTGAGTGATATTTAAGACCTGTTGAATATCCTGTGACATAGACGGTGCTAAACAGCCTTCGCAGCTTGGTGTCGTCTTTGATAATTGCATTATATATCTTGACATTAGTAAGGCCCGATAGAGTACTTTGCATGTCTCGCTTAAATCTTAGAGGTCCATTGTTACGATCTCCTCCGTAACCGGGTTCTTTTAAAACTCTATGATCCTACTCAAGATCAGAGGTCCCTAACCTTAGTGGAAATGTAGTGTAATGTTTAAGGCAAGAAATCAAATAGCATTTAAAGATAAGCGTTCTTATTAGCCATCACTACTGTTTACAAGTCACTATGAGAGGTCATCCAGAGCATCACTAGCCCTCACGCTAGCCAGCTTTCAAGATGACGGACACTTTTTATATTCCTCGGACGAGATCTTCAACGCCACACTTGGCCTCTCGCTAGTTGCTGTTATGGAGACGTCTTCAGGCGCCCCCTTCCCTTCCCTAGCGCGCTCAACAAGTGAAGTCTTCAGCGCTTGACTAGCCTCACTGGCTAGCTCGTCTAAAGGTCGACCAGAATACTTCCCTCCTCCTGCTGCACACACTTCTCTCGCCTGTCTCAGGATGCTCGTCACTTCCCAGCACGAGAGACTAGGAGATGGGAAACTAATATTAATGGGAGGGTTAACTGTTATCGTTCAGAACTTGGATCATAGATGGCGCTGATGTCCGTCACATCCATGGTTTTGGGGAAGCTGTCCTAAGTTGAAGTAGAGCTTTGTTATTGTGAAGACTGCATAGCATAAACGGTAACAAGTTGGAAGGGAAGGGATTTATCAGGCGAAAACGATGCCCTTCCGGGCTGCACTTGGAAGGTGTCAGGATAAAGATTGGGATGGGGGGGGGGGGGGGGGGAGGAGAAAGGAATGGTGCCCAACCACTTGGAAGGTCGGGCATTGATCGTAGACCTGCAAGAAGCGAGACCGTCGCTCTACCGTCCACCCCAAGTGGTTGGGCTAAGGGGAGACTGTTGTAAGTGGCGTGTCCTGGGGTGTCCTGGGACACCTCTTAGAAATCATGTAAATAAACCATTTAGACTTTGGAGTGAAATGCAAGAGTTGACAATTTGCAGCCGATACACAAACAGGACGAGAAATAAGTTCAGACAATTACACAAAATAACTTACTAGACGACTAAGGGAAGTGTAGAGGTCTCGCCATAGGTAATACAATATCAGCTGGACAGTGATAGTTGCGATGTGGGGTTATCTTGAGATAATTTTGGGGCTTAGTGTCCCCGAGGCCCGGTCCTCGACCAAGCCTCCACCCCCAGGAAGCAACCCGTGACAGCTGACTAACTCCCAGGTACCTATATTGTGGTAACCGACCTGTGAGATTTATATTTATTTAATTTATATGAATTTATATTTACGTTAATTTATATACTTCGATAGCAATTTGTATAATGATAAGTGGACTGTATTTCTGCAATAATCTCAATCTCACAAATCGATCCTCTACACATTAGGGGGGGTTTATATTTAATATATATGCAGCCAATCAAACTACAGAATTAACTACATACATTGAAGAGGTTCCTTATCTTATAGTACAGCAGGTTAGTCCACCAGGTATAACTAGGGTGTAGACACCAAATTATCCTCTTTGAGGTAGCTTCCATATCACCCAGTAACTGGTGCACAAAATCTTCCTTCCTCGTCTTGACCTGTCAAAAGTGCGCTAGCTGTGAAGCCAGATACCTATATATGACAAGTATATCAGAGAAAACACTATACAGTACATGGAACATGAAGACCTGGCTTAATTACCTTTAGTTTGAGGCTTCCACGCGATCTAACCGGGTCACCCTATATCCTGACATTAATGGCCATAAATGAATGATAAACGGGTTTCGGATAGACACTTAACTTGAATTGTAGACATCGTGTTGGAGATGGTACCTTTGGTTTCCATAACACTACGTCCAAGTAAAATTAACAGGAGCCGTATTTGCTCCCGTGTGCCTCTGGTCTCGTATATACAATGGCTGTTTAACACTCCATACTATTGACGTTACTGGCCGACATTGTCCAGAATGATAGGAGCCGAATTTGCTCCACACGTCTCGGAGGTGACACAACAATGGCTGCCCTCCTTCCTCACTGTCGCCTGGCTTACTTTGTCCAGATTTCAGAAAGTGATAGAAGGGTCACATTTACTCTACTTTAATATTGATAATTAAGTTAATTTATATAAGATGTTTTTATGATGGTAAAGTCCAAAGACTAATGTATTTAAGAACAATTCCCAGCAGAATAGCTGGTGAATTATAATAGTATGTGGTGATGATATCCCGTTTTCTATAGACGGTAATTCCACTACAAGTTACGTTTTCTATGGGTAACTTGTTGGTAATACAGCAGCACTTATTATCTGTCTGTATGATATTAAATGGTGTCGGATTTTCCGACATATATACTGTTAGGTATCAGGAGCATCAGGGTGAAAGAAACTCTGCCCATTGTTTCTCGCCGGCGCCCAGGATCGAACCCGGGACCACAGGATCACGCGTCCAGTGTTCTGTTCGCTCAGCCACCAGCTCTCCTGTGAGTGCAAGAAAGACATAAAACACATAATTAATAGGATTTTGAGTAAAAAAAAAGTACGTAGAATACATTTATCTACACAATAACATAAATAGGGGTATTAAGATTTATTTATTTATTTATATATTTTATTGATTTGTATATAGAAGAGTTGTTACAACAGCCGCCAGCACGCAGTGTTCCGGGCAGGTCCTTAATCCTAATATTCCCCGGAACACGACGCGCCAAACCGTTTAACAACCAGGTACCCATTCACTGCTGGGTGAACAGAGGCAACAATTAAAGATTGGCGCCCAGTAAATCCTCCCCGGACAGGATACAAACCCTGGCTAAAGTGCCGGGAGAGTGTTTTACCACTGCGCAATGGGGACTGCCTTCTGCATTTCTAGAAACGTTAACAACAAGTTATTTAATCAAATCAAATCAAATGCTTATTCAGGTGAAGTACACATACAAGATGTGATACAAACATTGATGGATTTATAGATAGAGCTAGTACATACAATGCCTAAAGCCACTATTACGCAAAGTGTTTCGGGCAGGAAAAACACTAAGACTAAAACTTAATACTAATTGAGATTAAAGTATAAATTGTGTTGAGAAAATAAAAAATTAAAAAGGGGAGGGGGAACATGGCAGAAAATAGCCAATATACAATTTGGTCGACAAACAGCATTGTTTAAAAATAACAGACATGAGTTGACATTTAGGGGTAAGGTAGGTTACAGGGAGTTAATTAGGTAGCACTTAGTTTTTATCTTAAACTGGTTGGGAGAGGTACAGTCTTTAACATGGTTGGGAAGGTCATTCCACATTCTGGGTCCCTTGATTTGTAGAGCATTTCTTGTTTGACTAAGTCGTACTCTTGGAATATCAAAAAGGTATTTGTTTCTGGTGTGGTGCTCACGGGTTCTGTTACAACCTTCTAGGAAGCTTTTAAGGTCAGGATTGGCATTACAGTTCAGCGTTTTATATATATAAAATACACATGAGAGGATGTGCAGTAACTTAATATCTAACATATTCAGAGATTTGAGTCAGGGTACCGAGTGATGTCTGGGGCCAGAGTTAGATATTGTCCTAATAGCAGCTTTCTGTTGAGTAATTAGAGGACGTAAATGATTTTGGGTAGTAGAACCCCAAGCACAAATAAAATAGTTGAGATAAGGATAGATGAGAGAGTAATAGAGCATCACCAGGGCAGTGCGAGGTACATAATATCTGATCTTAGAAAGAATGCCAACAGTTTTTGAAACTTTTTTTATATATTTAGAATGTGTCCCTGGAAATTCAGCTTGTGGTCAATGAAAACGCCAAGGAATTTGCCATCTACTTTATTACAAATTTGGGTATTGTTTATCCTGAGATTTATTTGATTTGAGAATTTATTGCCAAACAAATATAGAAAGTTTTGTCAATATTGAGGGTAAGTTTGTTGGCAGTTAGCCAGTGATGGACTTTCTTTAGCTCAGTACTTACTGTGGCATTTAGAGCAAGGGTGTCTGGACTGGAGTAAATGAAGGTTGTGTCGTCAGCAAATAGAATTAGTTTGAGGTGTTGGGAGGCATTTGGAAGGTCATTAATGTAGATGAGAAAGAGGAGAGGGCCAAGTATGCTGCCCTGAGGAACACCAATGTTGATGGGTAGGGTGGGAGAAATTGAATTATTCACAGAAACATACAACCTGGAAGCCTGTCAGAATAATATTTTTCTTAACCTTTATCGTGGCTTCGTTATGCCTCACTTATATTATGTATTTGGTCTGAGTATCAAGGAATGTATATAAATTCACTTGGACTCGTACAGAGAAGGATGTTAGTGGCTTTACAAGAATGTAAAAACATCAATGCTATGTACTTTCATAAACCCAA